GTGTATCCTCCGTTAACAGCTTTGAGGGAGATATATTAGCCGTATCAGATGAATAAACAAATCCAGTAGTCTCGGAACAAATTTGCAATACTTACGTGTGGATTTTTACTAAGCATCTGTCAAAATACTTTTGAACTAGCACATAAGGAGGAAGAAAAAGGAGCTTACCGCATGTAGCTTATAGAAGATCGTCGACACTATTGATTAGTGCGTCGAAATTTCCGTAAACCAGAACTGTTCCCTTCTTGCCGGCTACCTTTTTAATATCTTCCTTACTTTTGTACAGCTCTTTGCCAACTCCGATTACAACTATTTTAACGTTTTTTTTTTCTGAATAGGAAGAGGTTAAAAATCCATTTTAATTCATCAATTGAATTCAATAAATCATAAAATCTATTTTAAAGTAATTGAACCTGATGGTTTTTAATCTCAGTGTGCTTGAATTAGTTTTCATTGGAAACGCAAGGGTTTTTTGTGCTTTCACAACCAGGCAGGCATCCCCAGGTACACGAAAATTTGAAGAGCTCCTTCGTCTTAAGGGTTGGAGTTAGCACATTTTAACGGCCCCTCTGCTCTCAAAGTATTTTTGCCACGTAACCTTCACATGGTCAGACTGGAAAATTCGTAATCAATAGTCATAGAGATTCTGCTTTTCGGGTTATTTTCAGTGCCAACAAAAAAGGAACGAAAAAGATTGAAACCCATTTTTGCTTTCAGCTGCCCAAAGAAGGTTGTCATTCGATAGCACGAGCCATCGCACGGGAGTTATTTCCCCTACTGGTAAATTGGAAATTATTTTTTTTATCGTTTGTGCAGAAAGTTGTGATCATTCATGGGGAATCCCGCTCAGTAACTTACCTCAAAGTGGGTAATATCGTTATGAATTTGTTAGACGTGCCCTAAAACTATTTTATAAACGTTAGAGTAGTTGACAGCCACCCGGTAAAACGCTCAGCTTATCCGTAAATAAAGCTCGATAAAGCGGGCTGTGTAATGCATTTGTTATTCATTGTGAGGGACAGAATATTCCCTATCACGCTCATTAAGTGAATCAGAACACGCTGTGACAATGTTGTTATTAAACAGATAAACTTCTGAGTGAACTGTTGCTCATTTTCATTTTTGCTCATTTCATTTATTTGTTCCGTCTTGAAGTATAACGGCCTGAAAAAAAACGCCCAAAGGCTACTTAGAAGGTACGTTTTGGCAATTTTAAAATCACCTCGAGAAGAGTGAATATAACAAGGGAGTGGGCAACATACAGGGCTATCAAAGCTCGGATCATTGGATTATGCAATTCAAGAGTTTTCATTGGCTTAGCCATCATGGGTCATGAGCCATTTTGCCATGCACGCATATGAAGACGAGTTTAATCGGAAGTGTTTTTGTACCACATTTCGTATCACATTTCGTTAGTCCTTAAAAAATCAAGTTGGGATGATTTATTTATGTTTTGGGGCGTTTTAAATGAGACAATGATTCCACTCGCGCTTATTGAATGTGAGATAATTTCAGCCAACTCGAACCTACGGGCCTCATCTCTTATTCAACATGCGCCCGTGGAAAATTTATCTAAATTATTTTTCATGCTGAAATTGGCAAGGCAGTGGGTAACAATCCTCGGCCATCC